GGGGGGGCGTGTGTGAGCATAAAGCTTTCGGGGGGCCGTTCCCTGAGTCCGGGGGGGCGGCCGGGGGGGCGCGAAGGCACCTCGAGTGCAAAATGTGCAAGAAGGAGGGAGCGGCGGGGCTCCGTCAGTCGAGGAAGCGCTGGCAGGCCTTCTTCCAGCGGCACGCCGTGCACCACATCTCCCGGTGCTCCATGCCGTACACCTTGCGGCACTTCTTGGCCTCTCCCCGCGGCCGCCTGCAGCAGAGGGGACAAGTCACAACCAGGGGACACACGCAGGTGAGAGGGGATGGGGTGGGGCACGACAGCCATGGCTCACCTGGGCACGGCCGGTGGCTTGGGTGGTGGCAGGGTGGGGACAGTGGGGGACAGTGGTGGTCGTGGGGGGGTCCGGCAGCCCTGGAGAGAGAGGACACAACCCTCGTCAGACAAGGTGATGAGGGAGTGCAGCAGCCCCACCTCCATCCCTGTCCCACTTCATCCCTGTCCCACTCCATCCCTGTCCCACTCCATCCCTGTCCCCCTCCATCCCTGTCCCCTCCATCCCTGTGCCCCTCACCTGGTACGCGTGGTCAGTGTGGACGTGGCAGCGGCCAGGTGGGGCCGGGGGGCTGCAGGGGGAGGCCAGGGCCAGGTCGAGGATGGGCAGCACTGGTGGCGGAGGAGCCTCGGGGCCGGGAAAGGCGGGAGGCACCGAGGAGGTGGGAGAGACCGGAGTGAGGCTGGAGAGCCCGTCGGTCAGCGCGTCCACGTCCACGTCCAGCTCCGTGTAGTAGAAATCCTCCTCGCCATCGCTCTGCTCCAAGTCGGCTTTCCGGCTGCAGGGAGAGCAGAGGCTGGCTGGGACATTGTCCCCCCAGCACCACAGGACCCTGGAAGGGATATCAGGGGGTCTGGGGGTGTCCAGGGGTAGCCCATGTGCTTACCCAAGGTGCATGGTTCGGATGTGCTTCTGCATCCCTGAGGAGCTGCTGAGGACTTTGCCGCAGCTCTTCCACAAGCACTTGAACATCACCTTGGTGGAGTTCTGCAGGAGAGACGTGTCAGGCTGGCAGCTCCATCCCCAACCTAATCCCCAGCCCCACTGTCTTCCCAAATATCATCCTCATTGTCATCCCCAACATTACCTCTGTCATCACCCACACCCCCAAATTAATCTCAACCGTCAACCCTATCTCCAACCTCATCCTCTTAATTCCCACCCCAAACCCTGATCTTCCTCCTCATCTCCATCCTCACTATCCCCATCCCCAAACTCATTCACATACCCAACCTCATCCCAACTGTCATCCCCACCCTTAACCTCACCCTTGTCTTCATCCCTATCCTTTCTAGTCCCAAAACCCAGCTTCACCCCTATCACTATCCCCAGTTTCATCCCACCTTCCTCTTCCGTGGGGTGGGCTCTCCAAAGACGAAGTGGGTGCTGTCGGGCTCATCAGGGCCCTCATCCGGCAGTGGGCCGGGCAGGAAGGTGCTGGGGACGTGGCTGGAGAGGGGGGGTGACGGGGTGGAGGGGGTGGATCGGTCACTGGAGGGGTCCCAGCTCCAGTCCCCGCTGGTGTTGCTGCTGCTGCTGCAGCTGGAGGACATGGCAGGAGCCTCCTTCCAGACCTCGCTGCCAGGCTCTGGTGAGGAGGAGGAAGAGGAAGGTCAGGTCCTGCCGTGGGACACATCCAGGGATGGGGAGACAGGGAAATGCTCTCACCTGGGGCATGAGTGGCCGGTGGGTGCCCGAGCACCAGCGGGCTGGCGGAGAGGCTGGTGAGCACCGCGGCTGCCATCACCTCATCAATGCCTGCCTTGCCCGAGAGCTTCCTGCCAGAGAGAGCAGAGGGGGCTGTGTCAGGATGGACGAGCCCCCTGAGATACCCAATCACTTTCCCTCCCCCACTGAGGTGCCAGGACCTCCCACCCACGGTGGCCTGCACCCATCCCAGGGTGGTTTGTGTGGGGGTACAGGGGTGGCACAAGGTCGCAGCAGCCCCACCATGCTGGTGGCATTACCAGGCGGAAAGGCACCCACAGGTGTCCCACACCCTGAGATGCTGCTGATCCCTCCAGGGATCATCCCAGCAGCTGTCTGTAATTCCCCTGGGAATGGCACAAGCAGCAGTGCAGGCAGAGGTGCAGGCAGGCTGCCAAAATGCCACTGCTTGTGCCATGCCAGGGTCAACCCTCCATGCCCGTGGGCAGCACTGTGCTGGAAGGTACTGGCACCTGCATCCTGCCCAAAGACACAGGGATGGATTGCCTAAGGCCAAACAGTTCCTTGAGGTGGAAAAAAAAACTATAAAATTTTAGATTAAAAAAAAAAAGCGAGAGGTCAAGAGCACCCAAAACCATTTTGCAAACGGATAACCTGGTGATGCTCCCAGCTGGGAGTCCCCAGAGCTGCCACTGCGGGACAGCCGCTCACCGCCGGGGATCCCGGCGTGGCCAACAGCGGCCAAAGTCCTCCTGCAGAAAAAATCCCGGCAGTGAGGCCGGTGTTGGTGGGAGGGTGGTGGCCGTGCCGGTGTCCCTACCTGTGCCGGGGCACGGGGATGCACTGCACGGCCGAGTGCAGCGCCAGGCAGCGCTCCAGCCCCGCATCCAGCACCCGCAGCATGGCCTCCTGGCTGGCTGGGTCCTGGCGCGACGGCAGCTCCCCCAGCCAGCCCTCGGATCCCAGCGGAGCCTGCGGGAGAGACGCAATGGGCAGCGGGGATCCCCGAGCGCAGGATTCCGCAGGGATCCCCGTGACCTCGGTGGGATGGGGAGGTGGATTTGGGGACCTGGAGCAGCGCCTCCAGGCAGGGCTGTGGTGGGACTGCCAGCCACTCCGTGGGTCTCCCTGGGGTAAATCCCAAGTGGATCCCACCAGGTCGCAGTGGGATCCAGCCAGGAGATCCTTAGCACTCTCCAGATCCCCCTGTGATGCTGCTGCCAGCACCATCATCCACTGGCTGAGCATCAGCAGGGATCCAGCAGGGATCTCCAGAGCCAGGAGACGACCTGACACTCTCCTGGCAACGCAGCTCTAAGGTGGCAGCACCCAAATCCCACATCCCGGTATAGATCCACACCTTATGAATCCACACCCCAAGTTTATCCCGCTCTGAGCGGATCACCGGGATCCAGGGCTGGGAGCCTACTCGTGCCTGCCAGGCCCATCCCAGACACCGGCACCCACTGCCTGAGCCCCGGCACAGAGTGGATCCCACTCCAGGGACATCCCCCGTGATCCAGCACCAAGCGGATCCCGCTCCAAGCGGATCCCGCTCCAAGCGGATCCTAGCCGGTCTCCCTGGGGCGGGGCTGGGCGGATCCCCGCGGCGGGAGATCCCTGGAAGATCCCAAAGAGCCGCGATCCAGGAGAGGCGATCCCCCCGGGGGTGCGGGTGATGTGACCCACCACCATCCCCCGCGCTCCGCCGCCACAAACCCCCCCCCATTCCCGCCCCTCAAAGTTTATCCCATCGCGGCGCCATTTTACCGGCGGGGAAAGTTTCGGGCGGGCCGCTGTCAGCTGTCACCGCCCCCCCGCCGCCTCCCCCGGATCCCACCCCGGTCTCCGCCGCCGGCCCCCCCGGTACCTTGGCGGCGACGGCGCGGGCGGCGGGCGGCGCGGGCGGGGGCGGCGGGCGGCGGCGGCGGCGGGCGGGCATTAGGACCGCGGGCGGGCGCGGGGGGTCCATGCGCGGAGCGGCCGCGGCCCGGCGGGGGGAGCGCGCTCCGCCGCGCGCGGCCCCGGTGTCGGCGCCGGTCGGGCCACGCCCCCCGAGCGCCGCGCCATTGGCCGGAGCGCGCGGGCTGGAACGCGGCCGCCGCTCTCCGCGCCGCTGCTTGGCTGCGGGCCGCCGGCCCTTCGCC